TGTGCGCTACAATAAAATGCTTTGGAGTTTAAGAATGCATCGTTTGCATCTGAGAATATTCAGAGAAACAACTTTGCAAATGAATGGAAAATCAGAAAATCAGGATTGGCTTCCAGTGAAGGGCTGGGCTCACGTGCAACAATCTCTAACCATGAACGTTATAGGTAAGTCACGGTATAATTTCAGTTTGTGGAACAACATGCTTCCATTAACTTCCCTTGTCAGTCAAACAAATTTAAGAATTAAAAATATCTCCATTGTTCTTCAGACCTTATTACATGAAATGTTGCAGGACAGCCCCAAAATATTGACATTTTTGTACAGTCCAATTCATTTTTTCAGTTATTAGAAGCTGCTTTTGTACGTTAGAGATTTCCTTGTCGTAACCTTTCCATTTTTTTCAGGACGATGAAGGATATGACAAAGACTCTCCGTGACTGAAAATTCATTTTCTTCCATAATGTGCTAAATTACTTTGATAGTGTATCTTCCATTTAGACTGAATCTGATACGTGCTGATGTTTGCATGATAGATGAAGTGACAGATGTCACGAGAGAGACTCGTAGTTTAACTCTTCTCTAAAACCATATGATAGCGAAGCAGAAACAAATGGAAAGACTTCTTTGAACGATATGCATTAACTTTCAGCTACCTCATATCACATTCAAATGTTGACATGCAAAGAAAAAAAAGACTTGGAAAAACTTAAGAATTCCTCGAGGGCTGGATGTTTATAGAAGGCGAGATGTCTGTGTGTTTGGGTGAGTACTGGAGGATCATTCTTGAGATGTCTTGTGACACCTCCGTCCACCATGCCCAGCTTCATTGCTTAGAAATACAACCAGTACCCATAGGAAACCAAGGAGTGGGAGCTGCTGTTTTCTGGCAGCTAATTTAGGTGCAAGCCCACATGGGGAGCATCTCATATCCAGGCTTACGTACCATGGTTTACCTTACACAGCAGCAGCCGTCGGGCACACAACTTAGAAGCACGGTCACGAACGACTTCTAGTCCATGGCAATCCTGTCCACTGTGAACCTTTCTCTGCAGGGGCCTTTTGGTCTCCCCACGGCCCAAAAATAAATCTCAAGTTAATTTGGCCCTAATTTCTCTCCAGGCCTTTTTTAGAGTACTGAATTTACAGCTAATTTGCTTGAAATTGGTTTATCTTCCCTTCTGGTTTAGTGAAAATCAGTAACAGTCTTCTTGGTAAGAGGAGGGTGCTGAAGCATGTGAATGTACTTAATTTATGTCGGTCTTTTGACTGGGGAACATATATTCGTCAGAGGAGCTGTGTGGCTACAGTGATGGCAACTGGTATTTAAAACCCAGTACCAGTAAATCACAGAGGATAAAACAAATCTGATGTATTACTGCGACTCAGGAGTGACATTTGACCGTTGTACTATTGTTCTGACACTGAAGTTAGTAATGCAGTTTTGTGCCTTAAAGCAGTCCTGTTCTGCTAAGCAGATCGTAACAATTAATTCCTGTTTGGCAAAGAATCAATAAAAACAAGAGAACTTTTAGACAATTATTTTATACTATAAATCTGTACAACCGAAGTGTAAGTGCTGACACAGGTGTGGTCAGCGAATCCAGCTTTTAGCAATGTTATACGAGGTCTGTGGAGGAGCTAGCTGGCCTCTCATGGGCGCAGTCTCACGGTTGTTTACACACAATAAAACGTGACTGTGACTGTGCCTGATGTAGACTGGCATGACTTCCATACGTGACTGTGGCTGTGCCTGATGTAGGCTGGCATGATCTGCATCACTTGTGGTACCTTTTAAAAGACCAAGAGCCAGACCTAGAAATGGAAATTGGCACCTTCTTGTTAGGTATCAGAGAAGCTCCTTGGAGTGCCTGACCTTAAGAACAGATGTTCAAGACCCACATTCAGACCCGTCTGGAGGATCTCCAATAGGTGGGGCGAGAGAAGCCTCTCGGGTTCCTGAGGCTGCTCATTGCACAGCGAGATCCCTAGGTCAGCAGCACAGCCTGAGGGCACGGGAGTCTGCAGCTCAAGTAACAAAGCCAGTACTGAGTCTTGGCCCTTTCTCCCTTTCCCTCTTGTATTCTGTATTACATTAGCATTGATAAGTTGCCAGACTAAACAGAGAGGTGCCCAGCACGTATGAGTATCTGCATTGTTAATGGCCTCTGAAGACTTGTTTTTTTAATGGTAGCTTGGAATTCGAGGTACCTGAACTCTGCCCAGCCCCAGGATCCCAACAGATGTCCTTCATAACATTCTACAGCCTGGAACTATAGTCTGAAAATGCCACACGTAGGAAATGCCTCAGACAGATACCCTACAACCATGCTGCAAGGTCATCCACCAGATCATATATTTGGAGTCAAAGCGGTATGTTGCTGGTTTTAACTGTGAGATGCCATGGGTATCCATCACGTCACTCCATAATACCAGATGCATTCTATGCCTTACACCTCTGCACTATGCCTGTCACGAAGCACTTCAAACACCTGCTGAGGATTTTGCGTATAATTTGTGCTTTGTTCTTTTGTAATTAGTGTGAATACATTATTTGAAGAAAACGAATACTTACTACTTGATCCTTCACACACAAAAGACTGGCACTGTAAGTATATAACATTTTTGTATTCATACTGGGTGCTGTTTCTCATTTACCAAGTTTTCACAGTATGGACTGAAGGGAAACATCTCCTTTCAATAGCTTAAAATGAGAGGAATCAAGGTTCTGTGTGTCATGGGCCTAAATACATTCTGACTAATTGAATCAGACTATTTTAGGTATAATTCAAAATTCACACGTATACTTTTAGGGTTTTTAAGAAAGCTTAATCAGCATTTTCAAGTAAAGAATGTTTTATCTGGCATATTGAAACTCTATTCTAGCTGTGGAATAAGAATACTGGTAGGAGGTGTTAAGAGATTTGGAGGGCCGTGAAATGCTCTAAGTCTTAATAGGCTACAGTGAAACCAGAACTTGCTCAATTTAAAACACATATAACATTATAGCTGTAAAACGGAATTCTGCATGACCCTTGCTTGATCTTTGCCTCAGTGAGACATCCTTCAGATGTATTCTGTTTGGCACATCAGCTCAGAGTTTTGACAACAGTTCACATTCGGTGCTTGCAACACCACCAACTGAAAGAATATCCCAGGGAGCGCTCTGAATCCCGTCTCCCCTCTCCAGAAGTGTTGCTTCTAACACTGACACTCGACTGACTTGCAGTAAAAAATATGAGCAGCTGTGAAGACCCCCTTTCCCTGAAAGGTGAGATGGGAAAACCCCAGTCACCCCCGCCATACGCTGATTTCCTCCAAAATGGGAAGCACTGATGAATACCCCCCCACACATGTACCTCCACTTGATCATTTGATGGTAATTTGGAAATACCTGCATGCCTTTCATTGTAGGCACAGTAGCAAATGCCATTTCAGAAGTACCTGAGCCACAAACACTTGTTGGTCCTTCAGGTAGAAGTTAGTCAAACAGAGCAGGACTATGACTTCAATAGGACAATTAGAAAGTAAATTCATCCCCATGTGAACACAATCTGTCCATCCATCCCTAAAGGTTTTAGGCAGAATATGAGACTTCAATTGCAGGATAGGAATAAACTTCTCACGTCACTGAATAGTATGTAACACATGGCATACTAAATGTACGCCTAAAAGTGCCTTCTGAGGGTAGGTATCTAGGCAGCTTACGCTAATGAGGGTTTGTAACCACAGGAAGAGATGACTTCTTAATTTTTCTGTAATTTCTTTTTTCTTTAAAACAAGCATAGGAAATCACATGCACAGAATGACATATAGTGCAAGACTAGGACTGCACAGTTGACCACTTAGAAGGCAGGACATACACAAGGCGGGACACAAAACTTGCCTGATCATGCATAAAATGTATGATACAAGCTTCATCACTGCAATCTCAAGTTTTTTAGCTGCAAATGTATCTAAACTTCACCTCCCAGATAATACAACGCAACAAGGGGAATAGTAGATCATCTACCAAAAGGTAAAATGTTAAGTAACAATTGTATGGCTTTTTGAAAGATGTACAATACAGTTCAAAAAGCTTTGGAGCTCAAGGCAAGAATAATTAGAAACATTCATGGCATGTGTGATGTGGAAAGCCAGAGTAGATTATCATAATCATCTCTTTTGACTGTAAAATGTAGGAATCTGCCAGAAATTAAATAGTCCCTATAAAACCATCATGTTCTCCAAAAGGTTTTGCCTGTAACATAAAATACCTTTAGTCTTTCTTTTCAACAAATGCATTCTTAAATGTATGATAAAGAAGAAAAAGTTCTGCTCACGTTTTGAGCTATAAAGCCTTGCAAATAACCAAAAAATGATACTTAAATTCCTTAAAGTGGATGAAGCAAGCAAATCATTTTAAGCAGTTTTAATAATACACAGAATACTGTCCTGTCTTTGATACAGACATATGCTCATGTGTACTTATTGGCACCAGTATAAATAGGAATAAGTCAGGAATAAGGCTACTACGGTATGCCATCTCCGCAAGTACTTCTCTGAAATGGCTGTAATGGCAGTTTTTCCAATTATAGTTCTGTTGCTTAACACATTTGGGCTACAATTCTGCATATCGCCATTACAGTTTTGAAATACAGAAGAGATTACAAGAGATTGCACTAACAGTCTGACAAAAGCCACTGAAATTCAGAGTTAAGAATGCTGGAAGGTTCATCCACAGGAGAAAAGACAGGAGTTAGTGAATTGCATTTCCCAGTACGCATTCAAATCAAAGTGATTTAAACACGGAATATTTTATAGGGTTGGTTGGCTGTCTTTTACTATTGCATACTTTACTAGGCTTATGAACTGACCTGTGACCATGCTATTTAAAACTAACTGAATACTGATGTAGGTGAGGACAGATGGAGAAAACATACTAAAAATGCTTGTGTTTGTCTAATATGAACCTATTGTGTCATTTAATGAATTTCAGAAAGAACCCAAAGCAACTTACTATCTTGAGGGAAACAGGGTTATTCTTATCTTGTGCAGAAAAGAAATTGATGTCTGACTGCAATGAGAGATAAAAGTGATTCTCTATCAGTGTGTTTTTAATGAATATCGTATACAACGCAGATGTATAAATCAGAGCACAACTTCAGCTTCATGCTCTTCACTTCATTTTACTTACCATCAGTTCCTACTTCACTTTTAAGGTCAGTACAAGACTGGAAAAGACACAAGAAAAGACTGAGTATTGAAGAATACTTCTTAAATCATTAGTTGTTTGTCATTTTAATGGTGTTAGACTTTAGCAAATTTATGAGGCATAAACTAGTTAGCTTTACAATGTCCAAATATTGTTAGTCTTAGAAGACTGCTCATTCGAAGCCTGTGCTCTCCACTCAATTTACAAACTGCCCCTGTTTCCTTAGGCTGATGATGTAACTGCCTTATTTGCAGTGTCTTGATCAGGATACAAATACAGTGGGCTCTGTGATGAATTTGCTCTTGGAGGTGGTTGTGTACTAGTCAGTCTGTCAGAATTTCCTGGAGAATTCTCCCTCCACCTTGGACTTGCCTGCTCCTGAGACACTTCCCACGCAGATGGGCACGGGGAGGTAAAATTCATGGTGGATCGTGAGAGGTAGTTCTCCTGAAGACCTTCTTCTTGGAGGCACCTGTTTGAAAGCACTTCTTTTTCTTTGGAGTTTCGCCATTTCATCCTTCGATTCTGAAACCAAATTTTCACCTGTTTGCAAGTTAATGAGAGTTTATTATCATTCTTTTCTTTAAACAACTTTGCTCTAAGAAGGGTTTTTTTAAATTTCCATCCCCTTAGTTTCATGTTCCTTCCTTATTCATTGTTATAGTAGATCCAGTGAAGCTGACTGATTGACATTACCTGAGGATTTTCCCATCACTATTTACTACAGCTGGGCCAAATACTCTCCTTGACTTTCACCACCTCAAACAAGTGATTATTTGGCTTAGATTGGAAAAAGGACAGCCCAGTGGCTAGGGATAAAGCAATTTCCTATAGTAACATCCTTCTAGACAGAAAAGGATTCTCAAAGTAAATTAGCATCGTCATTAACAAAACTAAGTGATATTACTGGCGATGTGAAGCCTTCTGTTTAAAAGAGGCTCTCAGAACTGTGACTGTCCCATTCACAAGCATAGCTAAAAACAGCTTAGCCATATAGCTTCAAAATGTGTGTTGTGACATATGACACAGTAGTGAGGATTTGAAGACATTTTGTCTGCCTGACTACTGTTTTGCAGGAGTTTACTAAAATCCATGTGCTTTTGAGATAAAATCAATTTTTCAAAATCTTCGAGTTGCAAAGCTTGATCACGAGCATTCAAAGGCATTTATGAAATGCTGGAAAAAGCTTGGGGAAATATACATCTAGGAACTGGTTTTACATAAAGAGAAGAAATGGGGGGGATCAATCAAATTATTCAGATTGTGTTCTATTTTCCCTTAAATATTTGCATTTAGTTCTAGTATTCAGGTACTTGATAGGAAGACAAAGGGGCTATGCTTTCAAAGGACATCGAGGTGATGGAGTGTGTCCAAAGAAGGGCAACAAACCTGACGAAAGGCCTAGAGCATGAGTCTTATGAGGGGTGGCTGAGGGAACTGGGGTTGTTTAGTCTGGAGAAAAGGAGGCTGAGGGGAGACCTTATTGCTCTGTACAACTACCTGAAAGGAGGTTGTAGCGAGGTGGGGGTCAGTCTATTCTCCCAAATACCAAGCAATAGGACAAGAGGAAACAGCCTCAAGCTGCGCCAGGGGAGGTTTAGATTGGATATTAGGAAAAACTTTTTTACTGAAAGGGTAGTCAGGGACTGGAACAGGCTGCCCAGGGAAGCGGTTGAGTCTCCATTCCTGGAGGTATTTAGAAGATGGGTAGAAGTGGTGCTTAGGGACATGGTTTAGTGGTGGACTTGGCAGTGCTAGGTTAACAATTGGACTTGATGGTCTTAAAGGTCTTTTCCACCTTAAACGATTCTATGATAGGTTTGAGAATCATTGCCTTAGATGGCAGGTTCCGTTCCTCCAGCACAACTCGTCATAAAATTGAAGAAGTAACCTTCACAGCAACACCTCTTCCTTTCATGAAGGAAAAAAAAAAAAAAAAAAAAAAAAAAAAAAAAAAACAGGGAACATTTGGGCTCTTATT